TTTCCCGTTCATTTCTCTTGAACGACCGACACGACTTTGGAGTACTACCCCCGACTTTTTCCGTTCACTCCTGAACGATCGACTTGTCAGGTAACATAGGCTGAATCTTCTCTGAGGTAACATAGGCTGAATCCCACTTCTGAGATTGAAAGATATCTATTAGATTCGGAAAAAATTAACGGAGACCGACTGGATTTGAACTCGGGATCCCTCGTCTACCAATCCGACACTTAGTCTGCACGACCACGACGGCTCCTCTCTGTTAGCTGTTTATATTCCGAATCTCTTTCATGACCGCTTACGGTCGTCTAATTCTTACAATATATAGAAAGCTTTTGTACGGCAATGTGTATAGATCCTGTTGCTGTATAGGTATTCTTATCTCATCGCTGTACCCGAACGTCGTATTGGCGAACGGGTTGTACGCATGAGTCTCAATCTTAACGATGCGATCGTCAAAGATTGGCTTGTCTTCGATGTTTAGGATATCAGTCATTTCACAAGTTGCACACCGCGAATCCTAAAGCTTGTAAAAATGTTCGACGCGTTAAGTTTCTTCCTCTTTTTGACGCAGCCGGATGAGCGAATATTATCGATCGATGTTTTCTTTGTAAAAGATGCGTTATCTTTCTGTGTATGCTTCGCTTCGTTCAACACGAGCATCTCAAATGTCACGCTCGCGTTATCGCTGTCGCCGTCGTACGTGCAATCTGACGGTGATCTCTTCTCCTCTAGAATCGAGCAATCGTTCGTTCTGGTGAACAATGCGTATCGTTAGCTCCGTAATGCTCCGAACTGACAAGTAAATGATCTCCATCAACCTTTCCAATATCTTATATACTGACGGCACGATCGGCGAAAATTCATGTATCATGTGCACACTTTTGTCGTTGCTGTATGCGCCCGCTGTCACGTTGCATTCTACACGGATAATGTTTACGTTCATTATGTTGATCGACACGTCCGATTCGTACCATCTTCGCGGTTGCAGTATACGCCTCGAGAAACCCAGCAGCGATCCAATGTTATGAGACTTGTTAAAGTTTATTCTGTAGGCGCATTTAATCTCACACCTCATCGTGTTATAATTTACGCGGAGCACTATCGGGTATTCTCCAATCTCGTCATCGCCGCGCGCGATATCACCAGCGTTACCCTCGGGCGCGTCGCGTCGCGGACATTTCCGTAAAATTTCACGTTTCAAAAATTCATTTATGGCATGCAGTTCATACGACCCCTCGGGAATCGTAATTTCTGCATCGTCTTTGCCAAAATAAAATGTATTGTTCGAAGTTTACATTCGGTATCGTGTGATAAGTCTCCAAAATTGTTAGACCAAGCTCGTAATCATCGTCGCTCAAATCTATGGCTGGAGAGTAATTTGTCGCGAGAACGCTGCTCTTCCCGCTCAGCGTAAGCGTCAGCGACATGATGGAAAAAGCGTTCGACGAATACTGAGACGTCGCGACATTTTGTCGGACTTTATAAATTCACGCGCGTCGGAGAAGAAACCACAAGCACAGCTGTCCGCAGACGCTCTGATCGTACATCTGATAGGACGATCGATTGTACTCTATAGCATCGTCTCCGAAATATCGTATCAGTTCTTTAGGCGATCGAAGATTACCGAAACTGTCAAAGTACACAACGCAATTGTTTCTCTTTGCATACGCTACCCAATGAGTACCGGGGCCCGTCGTGTCGTCCAGATTTACGATACCATTTTCATTTCGACGCGCGCCGCTAATCGGTAATGCGTCACGCATAAAAACGCCTTTAAAATATGGTACGTGCATACAGCTGGTCCAATTGTACATTGGTGGTTACACCCGTAAATATTTTTATCGTCTCTTTGGCGTTTTTTTTCTTTTTTCTTTTTTTCGCTGTTACGCCTCGTCCGCCTTTGTACGGGGCGAGATACAGTCCTCGTCCGTATTTGTACGGAGCGAAATACAGTCCCTGTCCACGCGTTTCCATCGCGCGACGTTGCAGTTCCCCGAGTGGACGTTGCGCGACTTTCCTGTCGTTTATCGCTTTCGCCACGCTGGCCGCTCCGCCGATTAAGGACCCGAGAGCGCCCAAAATTGACAAAATCGGTAACACACCACCTCGTTTCGCCGTTGGAAGTATTCGTTTCTTTTTTTTGCCGGTTTTTTTCTTCACCTTCATACCCATGCCGATCTTGGTCTTGGCTTTCATCGTTGCCCAAACGGCTGCAGCTGCAGCTTTCTCGCTCAGAGCCGAATCTCTCGCGATGACGCGTCCTAAGGCTTTATCGGCGAGTACCTTGTCCGCCGCGTGTCTGTCGGTAAGATCGTTGCTCTGAGAATACGCAATGTCGTGTTCACGGCACGCCGCGTCCAGTGGATTTATGCCCGTTTCACCTCTGGCTAATCATTTTTTCAGCCGAGTACCTGGACCGCAAAACTGATAGCTGGGGATATGTAGTTCGAAAGGAAGCGCGTTTATCGCTCGATTGAGCAGACCTCCAATGTAGCCTTCGTTTGACGCTGCTGCTGGCATAGGCCACAATCCTTTATCTTCGGTGCAGGACCGTCTATATGATCTCGATCCCTCGATTGATTATAATGCTCGACGCAGCGACGATAGGTTTGAACCTCCAAATCCGCCTTTATATACTCCGGAAGCTTGTCCCACACGTGATCGATATAATTAC